ATAGATAACATATATTTAAATATTTATTTATTTATGTGAAGTGATGTTTTAAGAAAAAACAATGTTTTTATAAAATTATTTACCACATTGTATTGTTGAATAAGACTACTCAAAAATACTGTGATATTTTTTTACTCCTTCAAGGTACAACTCTACATCCCACTTTCATACAATTGTTTTTTACCCTACACAAATTACGCAATAGTACCAGTACACACAATTGTATGCAACATAATCTTTTAATAAATATTGGATAAATATATTATTTATTACTTATTACATTCCCATTGTATGAAATGTATATACTGGTACCAATTCTTATTAGGTTGGTAATCAGCTTTCTTTGTCATTTTAAAGAAAGTTTTTTTTAACAATTTATGTCCTAATAAAATATTCCATGAAAGATATGTTTGTTTCCATGTGTTTTAATTACGTAGCTTTATTGGTACCGGTATTGGTATTTATTTAGTGTTTACAAAGCTTGTATTGACTTGCTCTGACAAAAGTTAGTACACCTTATTTCTCCCACACCCATCTCAGACCAAGCTGAAATTTTGTAGTTATTTTTTGTACCATACTAGTACCTGTCAAAAAGAATCAAGATATAAAAAAATTAACCAATTCATTAACTATTGATAATTATTTTGTTTGGCATTGATATTGAACAAGAAAGAAATTGTTCATGACTGATGTAGTGGTGTAACTTGAATTAGTCCTTTTTATACTTCGTGTAGAGAATTAGGTCGTTGCTCAAATTAAAGATTGAAACTAACAACACCAGTAATTGGTGTTAAGTGTATTTGCCTGAGGAGGCTTGAGCCCTCAAGTTTGAATTCAAGTTGTATGGTACATGCTAGTACAACTTATATACATTAGAAAGATATAATGCCATCATGGTAACATTCACCCAGATACGCAAGAAGTGAAGGAAATACTCATATTTCTGCGGACTAGAGTTTCCCACGAAAAAAAAGAGAGGAAGGGGGGAGAACAATTAGCATTCACTAAATAGCAGGGTCGGACTTAACCATTGTGACCAAGAAAGATTACTCTTTTTTTTTATTTCTACCCAATGTAATTTTAGCTTCTCTTATCTTATCTTATATAATACAGACGTTACTTCAAAAAAGAAGATGATTACATCCTACGCGTCATGCATTTAGTCATGCATATTAACCAATGACTTAAATTCTGCCAAGTCACTGGTTTTTCTGGCTAGCTCAGGCAACCCATTCCATGCTCTAATAGCACTAGGGAAGAAGGAGTATTTGTACAAATTTGTCCTAGCATATGGGACGAGGAATGTGCCTTTATTTTTGTGTCTTTCAGAGTATTTTATTAAATTTTGTATTTGAAGATTATGGTTCAGTGTTTTATGTATAATTGCTACTTTACTTTTGAGTCTTCTGTCCTGAAGGCTTTCTAAATTTAGTGATTTTACTAATGGTGTTACCCTAGTCAAATGTGAATATTCGTTTGTTATGAATCTCACTGCTCTATTTTGTGTTTGTTCCAGTTTCTTAATGTTTTCTTGAGTTGAGGGGTCCCACACGGTGGATGCATATTCTATTATTGGCCTAACCAAGCCATGTTGGTATGGGGTGATAACATTATGTTTGTCTAAGTGGTTTATGATGTTGCTACATATTATGTGTTCTAGGATTTTACATGTGATGCTGGTAAGTGATACTGGTCTGTAGTTTCCTGGATCAGATTTTTCTCCTTTTTTAAATAGGGGGGTGACATTAGCTTCTTTCCAGTCCTTTGGTACTCTGCCCTGGTTAAGCGATGCCTGAAAGAGTATTTTGAACACTGGGGCTAGCTCATTGCTTAGTTCTTTGAGTAATCTAGCTGGAATACCATCAGGTCCAGACGCTTTATTTGGTTTGGTGTTGGCTAATAGTTTTTGAATTCCATTTTCTTGTACTACTTTATCTTCTATGTTGTCTACTTGGTTCAAATTCAGTAATATATCTTTGTCTCCTGGGGCTGAGAATGCTGATGCAAAGTATTTGTTTAGGATGTTTGCTTTAGTTTCATTATCATTATGTTATGTTCATCTTTCAATGGCGCTATGCCTGTTGTTTCCATTTTCTTAGACTTAATGTATGACCATAGGTTTTTGTTGTTATCTTTAGATATTACATTGTTTATGTATTCACTCTGCAGCTGTCTGCTTACTTTTTGTAAACTCTTTCTGCCTTAGTTTCTTTAAATTTTCTATATAGGTTTTTTCTTCTGTTTACAAAGCCTCTTTAGTCTATTATAGCTGGAAAATAGACGGGGGAGAACAGGTAATCTACTCTGTATTCACCCGTCACTAAATAGCAGGGCCGGACTTAACCATTGTGGGGCCTTATGCAAAACGGACTTAGCGGGCCAAGTTTGGTAGGGATACAGATAATAAGTCATAAAGTATCTATGTAATTTTCTTCATGGCTAAACAGTTTGGACAAAGATCACACTCAATAGCAAGAATTACCAACTAATTCAATCTCTCTCTAGGAGAATTGTTGACTATTTTTTTTTTTTATTTTATTTAATTCTTTATTTGAGGCACGAGAAGCTTATTTCACTAGATTCCACAATTACAGGGTTTTGCATGTTTTTTTTAATCGCGCGTAGGATTGGATTTGCGTTTTCCATACCTAATGACACCCCAAAATGGCAATTTTTGTCTATAATTTCAGGAGATTTGAGTTTTCAAAAGATTTTAATAATTTCTAGAGAGTTCCAGTACTTTTTCTTATTTTGCAATTTGATATTTCCAGGAGCTCCTGGTAAATCAACAGGAGGCCGCGGGAAATCTGTTATAAGTTGCAAAATGGTTTAATTTAATAATTTATACACCTACAATTAGCGCTGGTCCTATGAAAGTGCGGTGCCCACTGCAGTGGCCTAAGGCCTGCCCTGCAAAATAGCTACGCCGTCGGTCGACTAGTTTTTATATTTTTCTTGTACAGTAATTCTTAAGTTAGAACCATCTTTCAGTAAAAATTGACCATTAAATGTTGAAACAATATTTCACCAGCACTACAGTACCATTACAAAAAGGTTTAGTTTACTTAGTATTAATTAATGAACTTGTCTCGTAAACAACCATGGGCTGGATTACATAAAAGAACTTGTGTTGAAACATACCACCCCCAATAATGATTACAACCTATGCCACTCATTTTAAATGCAATGACTGTTCTAGTCATTACAATATATTTTGCCTGTTTTAAATTAGCTTTTGTTGTTAGATAACGAGTACTGAAACTTTGAATATATTCAATGCAATGGCCTAAGTAATGGTACTGGGTACATTAAATATTTTTTGCTTTTTTATAGAGAATGACATGCCCTGCTTCTAAATGTTTTCTACAAATCTACACTATTATTCTCGAATTAAGATTGCCAGTACCAGATAGATGAAACAGTCAATCAGAAAGTAGGCCCTTATGAACAAAAGTAACATGCTCCCCTTATAATGCTTTCTCTAAACACAAATAACCACATCTCATGTTGAGGTAAGCTGACTGATCACAAACCCCCACAAGATTTTCTTACATGGCGCCTTTTGGGAGTATCTGATGTACAAATAAAGGAAGTTTTTTTCAAATTATGATAATTTTAGCGCAGAATCAAATATTCTGTCTCTGTAGTACAAAATAATTTTTATATGAATGAACACATTTTTTTTTTAACAAAATGGTCAACAAACTGGTGGTAACTCATGAGATATACTTTTTAAGACCCACCATACATTGAAACATTTTCATCATTATAGCTTAATTCATTTTGATTTGGTAAAAAGGATGTTAAATTTATTGTGACTATAAATATTAAAGACTACAAAATAAAAACTTAACTTGGCTTGCTTTAATACTTTATACTAATAAGGAGAAGAAAAACAAACCACCTTTTCAATATTAATAAGATTTTAGAAAGTACAGATTATAACTACATATTTGATTAAGTTGTTTTTTATTTTGTGAGAGATTTGATAGCTTACAATATTAAATCTGTTATTGAATGCATATGCAATGCAACAGCTGCATCAATATTAGCACTTAGCAGTTGTTTACTTGACCTTTCGGTGAGATATTTGTTACAGTTGTTTATGCTTTAATTTGTTCCCAAGATATTTATCTCTGCACTTAAGCCTACCAGTTAATTTTGCAGTAGTTTGATAACAGCTTGGGAAACACTGTGCTAGTATAATCATTATTTAAAGGTAATGACATTTACTAATTCAGTCACAAATGGTTAAGTTGGAACAAGTTTGTTAAACACTTAACCAAGCAACAAAATTAAAACACCTTCACATTATTTGGAATATTTATTATAAAATGTTCATAAATAAGACATAATAATAAAAAAAAGTTCAAATGATACATATACATACCTTACAAATACATACACTGCAGGACACAATCAGAAATAACAGGTCAGGGGAGCAAGACCATTTGTTTTTTCAACCTTTAATTTTCTTTTCTCATATCAATTGGCTTTTTTTTTGGGAGTCTTAAAAAACATTTTTGTCTCAAAAATTTACATATATTTTTTTAAATAATAACATTTTTAAAAATTTATTGATTCCACTTTTATTTTTTAAGGAATCTTTTTTTTTGTATAATTTTTATCATAATACTCTAGTGCCCTGTGTATTTTTTTATCTTTTGTATAGTATAAGGGAAAAGACAAGAGACAAAGAAAGACATTGACTAGCTTTGCACCTCATGTGCGGATGAAAGCCTGAAAAAAAGAAATGACTTATTAGTAACTATAAAGAACTATAAAATGACACCCATGAACGGAACGTCTCCAAACACTTATAGTTCCCTTAAACATTTGTATATGTGGAATCAAATTAAATTTTAAAGCCTGATGTTTTTTCTTTTCAAAAATTCAATGTCAGACAAAGGTCTATTACATTTTTTTTTAAATTCATTTATTCTTTTTTTTTTCTTCTTTTTTCTTTTTTTTTTCATATGCAGTGAATGATTCAATAAGGACTGTAATAAGCTGCCCTGCGATATCTCCTGCAAATAGAGGAACAATCATATAAGATGCAAAGCAAACTTTCCGTCAGGTTAACAGAAATGAAATATTTTATTACTTCTGTACTAAACAAAACCCAATTAAATCACCATCAAAGTTTAGAGCTAGACCAAGCTTGGTTTTTTCTCTCAAGTTACAAAATACTTACCCAAAGGGCCGACGAGTTCTAGGGATAAATGGTCCATTAAAATAAGGTGTTCCTCGACTACCACCTCTCGTTACGCCTCGCCCCCTGGGCCTCCTATTGGTGGTGCTGATACCAGGACGATTTGTTCTCTTCGGGACCACCTTCAGAATAAATGATTTTATATGCAAATTGCCATACTTAAGTTAGGCTGGCACCAAATAAATGTTAAATAACACAGAATAAAAAATACATAACATTCATGTCTAACATGCTAAACCACCATTTCTTGATCACGTCTGTTTGTTTAATTAAAAGTTAAAGATATAATGAAAAAAAAAAAATGTTCTTTTGTAGACCTGTGGGGAAATTGGCATGAGGGAAAATGTTTCAGGGCTGCCTTTGCGGCAACTCAAGCAAACACAACTCTGCTCGTGTAGGGATTCTAACTCTTACTTTAATTTGTCTTCCTCGAAATAAGGATTCATCCAATGCCATTGCTGTAACAACAGAATCTTTGTCTGCAAATTCTATATAAGCAAATCTGAAAGAAAGACAATAAGGTAATTTTTATCATATATTAAGTTATCACATACTAAGCATAAAACGTTTTAAAAACTTTGAAACTCAAGCACTATAAAAGTAATAGAAATTACTAAACAAAAGATTGCCAACATGTTGATAGCATCAAAACAAAACATTGTTTGTTTAAAAAATATTTAAATATCAACCCTACCCTTTCGGATGCCCTGTGTATTTGTCACATAAAATTGTTACTCTATTGACTGAACCACATCCATGAAAATGCTGTTCCAACTCTTCAGCAGCAGCACCATAATCAACCTTTATAATAATTTTAAAAAAACAAAAAACATTTGAAATTTTTTTTTATGTAAAATTAAATATCAAAACAAAAACTTCAGTCTACAAAACATTTTTTTTAATTTATACTGATAGACCTCAAGTAGAAAGTGATTTTTTTAAAATCAATTGCTGACATAATCAATTGTAATTAATTGATCAATTTGACAGTATTACATTCTAAAAAATGATATATATACAATCAGATCAAGATCAGCAGTAAATTGTAATCAATTTAAATCATGAGTCTAACATGCCAAAACATCATTTCTTGATCAGTTGTTCAATTAAGCCATCTATATGTATAGATTGTTATCAAGTCAATCATGTGGATATTCCCTACTCTGTAATCCTGTTCCAAAGGATATATTTAAGTATTAAGCATAAACTTCTTTTATAAAAATGTTCAACAACAAATACAATAAAATTGTGCATTCTCTCACATTTTTTTAGTTCAATATATAATAACATCTGAGTGTTTCTCCAGTACTGGTATCAAAAAGTGTCACATTAGGTCAAAAATTAAAATGGAAGTTTTTGGTTTCATTTTAAGTGTATTCATTTCTTCACCCATTGTACTTTAAGAATTTATCAATAGAAAATGAATTGGAATACATACATTTCCTCAGCAGTGTTGGCAAAAGGGGTACCCACTATTGCATTTCAGGTGCATCACCGGGACACCATTGATGATTAAAGTACAACTAACTGTTAATTTGTTTGCTTTCTTAGCATAATTTGAATGTTTCTATTGTATTAAGCAGCTAGAGAAACTGAAGTTTTTGAGCACTTACATAATGTTTGCGCTCAATTTAAAGTATGGGACACGGTAGCACCTGTAACACTACTGGTAAAAGTTTTTTAAATACATTTTTTTTAAAAGAAAATAGAATTTATGCTATACTTGCATTGTAGCTAAATATATAGGCTATTATTTGCTGCAATATCTCAACAATAATTCAAGCATTTATTATAACAACTATTATATCACAAGATGTTGCGGGTGCTACAACGGGACACCAATATGAAATATATAGGGGTTTTTTGTTAATACATGCTGAAATACAATTTTTTTAAAGTCTGTAAATACATTACCAATTATTCTTTTATCAATGATTCACAAAATAGTTTTCTATAACCACAAATGAATGTACTAGACCTTTGTGTGTGTGTGTTCAATAATCATTAAAAAATATATTAGACATAACTGCCTCAAACAAGACCTAATCATAGACTAAAGCAGCTTTATGACCTTCAATGCATCAAGAACAAAATCCAAAACTAAATTTACATATAAATTGAAATATAAAGTAGATTTAAATCTACACAAGACCTTTATCTAGATCAAGACTTGTTTAGTGTCCCGCGAAGCACCACAGACAGTGATAAAACAATAAGTTTTACATTAACTTAGATTAAAAAATAGTATTCTATGTCTTTTAGATTAAACTTGAGAATAATAAGCTTAATTCTCATTATAATTCAAAACTTTGGTGAGAAAACTACTTATATCTAAATGTCTGAGATTTTCTGGTTTCATTCAACATGAGGCGTTACGGGTGCTACAATGAAAAAATGTGGGACACCATGTCTATTAATGTCTCCTGTTAATTACTATGTAGCCTTTTTCCAAGAAAATGGAGCTTATTGTGTACTAAGCAGTATCAGAAATACCATTAAGTAATTCCCATCTCATTAACAACTTTGTTTAAAAAAATATTGTTCTTTTAGTTAAAGAGCGTTTGAGGTGCTTCACCTGGGACACCAAGAGCTATTTTACTAAAATTATATAAATTTTTACAGTTTTAAAGAAAAATTACACTGTGTAAATTAATCATAGATGCTTTTAGTAACAGAGATACAAGTGGGAGCAGAATCCTTTACTTTGTTTATAATTGATAAAGGTTTAAAATTTCAAATTAAGTGGGACACCATGCGATGCACCTGTGACACATTTTTTGCGGCGACATCTAAGTAATACCAAAGTAACTATAAAATAAAAAGATATAGATAATGCAATAACATTATATTGTTAACCTATTTCAACAAAAATGTCTGTTCAATAATCTTTGCTTTTAGTAGCATATTACTTCAACCTAAGCCTGGTAGTCCATGTTACATCAAAAGTTGCACCATTTCACACATTTTCTACAATTTTAAAATTCCACAATGCACCTTTCAAGCTCAAAATATCACAATTTATAGATAAACCATTTCTAAGTGTAATGAAAAGAAAATTGTGCCATTTTAATAAGAAGTTTTTGAGTTATAGACTTTTTAGTGAGCCAATACCCATTTGTCACCAGTACTGGAGAAACACTCATCTATATTTTGACCAGCCTTTATCCTTTGATTTCAGGAACACTGCCCCCACCCAAAAGCAAGCATCACTAATGGAGTTGAACATGGATAATGCATTTTGTGATCACATGCAACAAATGGTCACTGTCATGGTACACTATAATACACTAGTCTTGAGTCTGAATAGCACCATTTGACTGGATAACACAAGGACTGTTTCATACTAGGCCAACATCATTCATGCACACGTTTAGACAATAAAAAAAATGTCTTACATTTCCAACAAAGATTGACTTGTTATCAGCTTCTTGTTTTTCTTCTGGGGTAGGGAAGGCTGCAGCTGCAGCTGTAAATACAACAAAAAATAAGATTATAGCATTATATAGCACTATTATGTGTTAACATTTCGTAAAGACACCCCATTAGCCCTACTTGCTCACTTAACAAAATTAATAATAATTTAAGACTTTGACAGTAATAATTCTTGAAGATAAAACAATCAGATCAAGATCAGCAGTAAAATGTAATCAATTTAAGTCATGAGTCTAACATGCAAAAACATCATTTCTTGATCAGTTTAAATTATGGAACAAAGGTTGTTATCAAGTTATTGATAGGTGTTGCACATGATTATTCTACACATTGTATTCTTTTCAATAATTTAATCTCGCTATTTCTTTGAGTCATTCTTCCTACTTACGTGTAGCTGTTGGAGAACTCATATTCATTTGTTTATCAACTTCTGTTTGCATCTCTTTTAACTTTTCAGCTTCCTCTTCCATCTCCCTCACTCTAGCTTTAATAGCTTCCAACTCCTTGGGGGAAAAAAAAAGACTATGATCTAAGGGCAAAACTACATCCTCATTTTGTAAAAACTAAATCTTACAAGCATGCTACGTTTTTTTTAATAGATATAACTAACATTTTCTTAGCTTTGAGAGCTCAATCTGTTTATTGGGAATGTGACTGCTAGTTCACCAGAAAGAAATGAGGAGTAAAAAATTGCAATACAATTACTTAACCACTACTTCATTGACTCATCCTTGTTATACAACACAATGCCATGAGAATAATATTCAATCTACATGGCATTTAGTTTTGTATTTGTCTGCCAGTCAGACCATCTGTTTTGCCGTCAGCTCTATTACTTCATTATTGACAAACTTACGAAGTGTTTCCATGCATAAAAGTTGCTTTTATATCTGTATGGTCCACTGAGTTGGCTGAGCCAAGGCAGGGAACCTGACATACTACAGCTGTTTTAAACTGACACCAACCCATCAATATAAGCCCTGGGTGTAAAAGTATTAATTGGTATTTAATAAGATATTTTGCCTAAACTTGTTGGCCTATTTAAAGATTAATTTGTTTTTTTAGTGACCCTTGGATCAATAAGCTTCATGCAAATACATGGAGCAGTGGAACGGTCCCAAATATATCTTAGAACTATGCTCTGGATATCTAATGGTGTTATCTACTACTACGTAATATTCCTGGTTCTGGATCTATTACTTACAAAACAGTCAGATTGAAGAATATAATCCAGTTTCAGAGAAAGAAAGTCTTAATAATGAACACAAGCTCTTTGACATGTTGTAGGAACATACCCATGGGTCTTACAAGGCTTATAATGACCTTATAAAAATGTACTGCTCAAAGGGGTTTGTTGTTCTAGGCATCTGGTAAGTAATAACAGGTTAAATTTTCATATTTTTCCGTCTATCTCAAATTGGAGAATTAGTGATGAGTGAATCAGTGACAGTCAGAGCCCTTGTAAATACATTACAGATTAAGTACAAATGACGGATGAAAGAGAAAAATAAAGAGACTTGTACGATATGAAGGCTATAAAATGGGGAGAGTTGTAATGTGGGATGTTTTATTGA